CAAAGATCCTCAAGGTCAAGCAATATATAGTCATCACAGCAGTTTCACTTAATTGATTTGATTCTCAGTAGTCTCAAGAATTTCACTACTTCTAGACTAAGCAATGGCAGAGCTAAAAATTAACAGACTTTCATTAGGTTCTGGTTTATCCCTTATTTGTAAAGGATACTGGCAAATTATTTAAAATCTTTATGAGTTAGCTTTACTGCCAGTAATAAATAACAATGCTATCTACCACAGAGGGCCACAGAGGAGATTAAATGAATACAGGTTACCTAATTTGTGTTCAATGCTCTTTTCACTTAAGTCTACAGCTCAACATCACTCTTTCCGCAACTGTGGCTTGCTGACGGAGCCACAGGGATCAGCACATCCCACGGTCTAGCTCCCAAATCCCTCAAGGCAGGCCTGCTCACTGTCCTGAGCAGAGTGGCCCATCTAGCTGCTATTCCTTTCATCATTTTCAGGTAGTACTCAGAGTATTTTCAACCTACATTAAGATATTTCAAAGCCCCAAACTTAAAAACAAAATATCCAGTCCTTAAGCATCACTACTGCATGACTTCCTCACATCCCACTCTCATCTTTTTATTTATCATTTCAAAATAATGCATTAGGGTAGAAAACCAGTATATATAATCAATATACAATCTGACCAATTCATAATAATAATCAATTCATAATAATAGGGAGCAGTGATGGTTAGCAAGCAAATACACTTCCATTTTACAATTTACTGTTTGATTAGGTGAGACAGGAATAAAACATATTACAGAAAATTTCACTTATGAACATATATATTAAGGAACCATGCCAAGGTTCAGGGTGCAGTAAAGATAAGTAGCTATGACACTCACACTTGCTCTCTGGCTTAATCAGAAATGAGAGAAAGGGCCTCCCTGGTGGCACAAGGGGTTAAATCTCAACATACGAAGCTATCACCAGTCACTTGCAGCATGAATTTGATCCCTGCCATGGAACTGATCCACATGGCCCAGCAGACCTCTCCTGTCTCTCCTGCTGCTCCCCTCAGCAGTGTATTTCAGTCAATTCGCCTGTTCTGCTCCCCACTGTCTCTGGTGAATCTTCTCACCCCACCCCTTCACACTGCTGCCTGCACCCCAGTTCATGTATGCATAAATAAAAAAAATCTTTCTTTAAAAGAAAAAAAGAAATGAGAGAAAACTACATTTTATGTTTAGTGTCAATCTGTAAGATTCCAAGTTTTGCTTTCTTGCAATTCTTATGAAACTGCTATTCACTACAAAGGAATGCCAAGAAAAGAGAAAAAAAGAACAGTTCTTTTTCTTTTTTTCCCTAGCAGATTAATTCTCATCTTGAATAAGAAAAATGTATCTCTTGGATATCCTGGAAAGAGTCACATTGCTCATCATGATTTTAACTTGGCACACTTCCCTGTGGGAAAAAGAAAACTCATCTACAAATTCATCTCTACCACTGAGTGCTTCTTTATGCCTGCCCTACATGGTGACAATGCGCACATGGGGACCCAAACTGACCTCTGGTATTACTGACAGTCAGGTGACTTACTCTCTTGCATGGGAGGCATGGAAAGAAAACAAGTTATACAAGTTTGCTCAAAACCAACTCTATTCTTGGGCCATCAGCTGTCCTTAATAAATTTGGGGGACTATTAAACAAAAAAAAACCTCTCTCGTTCCAAAAAACCTTATGCAAACCTTGTGCATAGGCAGAACAGAGGTAACTATGGCAACATTTATTCTGCTCCCAGCAGAGGTTCAGTACCACTAGCTTCGGGGAGAGTTATTAAATGCCATTTTAAATTTCCTTTTTCTTCCTTTTTTCCTCCCCTCTACCACTGGTGGCTTCTCTGATACTCCTTTCATGCTACTGTGATAGTTATGAATGTGCTTTGATGATACTTTATATAAAAACAAAGTCAATAAAGTATTAGTCAATCTATTAATAACTGATCACCAAAAAAATTAAAGAAAAGTTAAATACTTGTAAAATATGCCAAAAACTTCTTTGGGTAAATTCTGCTTTTCATTGCCAACCTAAAAATAAGTTCAATAAATTAGAAATAACTAGGTGTTTTCATATTGTTAGAATATGGTTAGAAATACTTATCTCAAATAAATGGTCAATATCATACCTAAGAGTGAATAAAAAAAAAAAAAAACAGTGGCAACATCCCTTTGAAAGTAAAGAATGCAACAAAGACATCTGCTAGTCACATTTTCTAATACTATTCTTTCATTTTTAGTCTAGGGATACTCACAGGAAGAGGCAGTGGTGGGAGATCTAATAGAGTGAAACAGGAAAAAAGACAGTAAACAGAAAAAAAAATCTTTACTGAGACACACGAAAGGCTTAAAAATGAGAGAAGAGATACCATGCTAATGGGTGAGAGGACCCAATACTATAGTGTAGAATATAAATTCTTCCAAAGTTGATTTATAAATTCAAGAATTCTGAAATAGATCATCAACTAATTGGGGGAAGTGAGAACTGTGTAACTGCACATAAATACAAATACAATAAAACATGGCAAAAATATATGAATTCACAATGCATTAAAAGCTCACACTACAGCAACATGGATGGAGCTAGAAGGGGTCATGCTCAGCGAAATGAGTCAAAAAGAAAAATACCGGATGGTCTCACTCATAGCAGGAATTTAGAAAACCTAAATAAGGGACCAGGAAAAAGACTAATTAATACAAAGTAAAAATCAAAATCAACAAGCAACTATAAACCAGACACACTACAGGGAGGAGAGGTGGGTAGAGGAAGGACTAGAGTCAAAATAAGCGGGGGGGAGGGGGGTGTAATTGTATGGGGAATATAACCAAAATGAAAATGTACACATTGTGGGAAAATGAAAAATGATGTAAGAATTATATAAAACAAAATATTAAAAAAAAATAAATCATGACATAAAATTAAAAAAAAGTCTTCAGTTTTAAAAAAAAAAACGCACACTATTAGTCAAGTACAAATAAAAATGAGATGGCTCTCCTGAATTTCAATTAGCAAATGTGCAAGAAAAATACTCAAGTCAACAAAATAGGAACTCATACTCTTTGACTCAGTCATTGTAAGAACATCAAAGCAGTACCCAAAATGTTTATATGAAAAACTATTCATTGGTGTTATAAACAATAGCACCAAAATGAAGATAACATAATTGAGATTGGTTCAATAAATCTGAAATATTCATATATAATGGAACACTATATGCAGCTATAAAAAAATTGCATTTTCATGACATGAAAAAATATTTGTAATAATGGGCATTAATTTTAAAATGTAATAAACCAATGTATTTTTTTTGTATATGTACATTCACAAAAGGAACTATAAAGACATACTACACACTGCAAGGAAATACATATTACACTCTACAAATACAGATAGAAACTTCAAGGAAAATATATCAAATCATTTTCAGTGAAAATGTCTGGTTATTGAGATCACATACAATATTTATGTTCTTCTGTATGTTTATATAGTTTTCTTCAATAAAAACATGACTTTTATATTCAGGAAATAACAAATGCTATATCAAAAAGAGAATCTAAATTTTAAATTTCTGTTCTGAATTCTCTAGTGGTTATACACTCAGGAGAGGACTTTAATTAGAATGACATTGTTAATATGAACTACAAAATGTATAAATGTTCAAAGCAACTGAAATAATTATTTATGACAATAATTCCACTCTCATAAGTAGCTCTGCAGAGTTAGGTGCACATGAAGTAAGTAATCACACATAGCTCAAAATAAAATGAACAAATAGGCAGAATATAGTAGGCACAAAACAATCAATGAAAGAGATAAAAGCTAATCAACACAGAATATTTCTTTCAGACTTAGCTTTTATTTTAATTTTGATATTGACAAATTTGACAAAGTTTACTATGTAGCAATTTTATGTTTAAATCTGTGGTCTCTTCCATATATATGTTTATATATGCATGTACATGTGTGTGTATAAACAAAAAAATATTTAAATTTAAATAGTTTCTATAAATAATCTTTACTTTCAAAAGAAACTTAACAGGGCTCCAAGAATTTAAAGAAAGAACATATTTTCGGAGAAACTGAATGACATCAATCCATGCAGTTACCATTAGCTATATTTGAAAAGCGGCTCTGTAATACTTTAGTGCTAAGTAAGCAGTGGACTATAACAAGAAATACCCAGACATTTAAAACATCTCTTAAGCAAATTTTGACTTTAGAATACTTAAAAAAGAAAATCAACATGATTAAATTAATTATAGCTATTTAAATATTCACTTTATGAAAGGTAAACTTACCAAATTAAAAAAAAAAAAATAAACAAGGTCCTAACAACACTGAGGATAGAGTACAACTCCAAAACTATTGTTTTTATTAACAATACAATTTTCTAACTGGTACAACTAAATACAACCCAACACATGAAAATTACCACATCAGAATGAGATGCAGTACTTAACACTATAATTTTGTTTCAACAGTGACACAATATAGATCCTACACAAAAACAAGCTATCTCCTAAGATGAGTAAGAATCTGAATATGGATACTCTCTCACTCGTAGGCTATAAGACTTGTTATTCCTGAGACTAAACAACCAAAATATTTCTCAAAACAAAATGCTTCAGGTAACTCCCACTCCCTTTTACAGCATTTTCCCAATCATTACAGCAGAGTGGGAAACCTCATTTAGGTGACAAGTGCCTTTTAATAACCTACATCCCTTAATTTCCTCTTTATCAATGAGGATGTTCTCTAGGCCGAGGTAGCCTGCAAATCAATGCCAAGGGGAAGCCATAAAGCACCTCGTCTGAAGTATAACCAGGGAGCAGCAGCGGCAACTATTCAAACCCAGAAACAGACTCAGCCCTTCCTGCATAGCACAAAATTCTGCATAAGCAACAGATAGTGTCAAGGATTCTGCATGAAAAAATGAAGAATGAAAAGACAGACCTAAGGAGGTGTCTGATCATACTAACATTGGTACTTACGTATCATACCTCTGCAATGGTGTCACTTTGTTCTTATTCTTATCAACTGAACCCGTAGATAGTTGAAGAAAATTGGGATTTAATTTATATAATTCTTGAAGTAGCTTCTGTTCATATTCTTGGTGCTTACCCGCCTAATAGAAGAAGAAATTAAAACTGCAGTGGGGTTCACGAAATGATTGGTATAAAATACTGAACTACTTTCTGAATTATGAAAGATAACTGAATAAATCATGTAAGGGTTTTTTCATGGCATCAGAGAAACCTGTGAGGATGATGACACAAGACCTTTAGACCAAAGAAAAGTTCTTCCAAAAAACCTACATGATATTAATTCCATTCATTAATTAAGGCATTTCATTAACCACTTCAATGTGGAGAAAAACATACTGAAAAAACTTTATTAGCTCAAAACACCAGAGGGCCCCTTTTAAACCTACTTCCCCTTCTTTTTGATAAAAATTAGGTCTTTTAATTTTTCATTTTCTGAAGGTCATTTAAAAATCAAGCTGCTTAACTTTATTTGCAGCAACATGGATGGCACTGGATGGGATCATGCTCAGCGAAATAAGCCAAAAAGAAAAAGAAAAATACCGGATGGTCTCACTCATAGCAGGAATCTAGAAAACTTAAATAAGGGACCAGGAAAATGAATATAAGAAAGTGAAAATCAAAATCAACAAAAAACTATGAACCAGAGACACTTTTTTGGGGGTGGGGGGCGGGAGGGGAAGGATTGGGGTCAGAATGGGGCGTTTGCAATTGTATGGGGGAATATAAAAATAAAATTTAATATTTAAAAAAAAAAAAAAAAAAAAAAAAAAAAAAAAAAAATCAAGCTGCTTAAAAAATGTGTTAACATGGCAAGTAATACAAAGAATCAATAAATCTCTCTATATATTTATTTCATTATCTTGACACTAAGCAAAAATTCCATTAATACTTTGTTTATACATGAAAATTGGCATATTTTAAACTCTAGATCGGGGTGGCAATGACTAGCCAGCCACTTTGTTTTTATAAATAAAGTTTTATTTGAACAGTCCATTCCCTCATTTACATGTTATCTCTATGGTTGCTTTCCTGCTACAAGAGAAGCTGAGTAGTAACTACAGGTATTACTTCCGGCCCACAAAGCCTAAAATATTCACTAATTGACCCTTTACAAAAAAAATCTGCTGATCCCTATGCTATGCAACAAATAGAACTCTGCATTTGGATAGCTGTATATCAGAAAGCTATGTCACAAATGTCATAGGAGAATTGGGCAAAGACTAACAAATTGATTTTGAATAAGTTTTTATGATTTGCCTGGATATCATGACTAGATTAACATTTTCACTTACCTTCAGTGTATCAGTTACTTTAAAAATGTGGTCTAAATATTTGCTATGGGAAAACCAAAACCAGAACAAAACAAGCCAAAATAATAACAAGCAAAGTAGTAGTATTTAATCAAGCACAACTGTATCACATGGAATGCACAATGTGTCGTTCCCTGTTCTGAGAGGGCTCCTGTGCTTCAACGGGGTCTACAAATATTTCATATAGGACTCATTTTGGTAATGCAGTTACAAATAAAGATATCTTTTGATTTTTGCCATGATATAATTTGTTGAAATTTCCTTTCTACACTGAGGAAATATTTTAACAAAGAAACCTCTTTTAGTTTTAAACTCAAGAAGAGCAAGAATTCAGGATAACATGAAATGAATACTAAATTATGAAGAAAAATACAAATTGATGTGGATTTCAATCTCAAAAATATGAAAAGCCTGGAATTTTTTTCTGCAGTCAATACTGGAGATACTATGGCTTCCCTAATCCACAAAGAACTCACATTTATATTCAAGTGATTCTACAGGGGCAGTTCATAGCAACAGCTTAAATCCCATTATAACTTCCAAGGGACTGTTGATCAATTTTCTTTTAGTGTCCAACAGCATTTAAATATGAGATCAAATGGGGCTTACAATTTTTTTGACAGAATTTTCTAGTAAGTAAAATACATTCCACCGAAGATTTTTTCACCCCAAAAAAAGGAAGGAAAAAAAATCAAGATACTGTTTAAGTCTTTACTCGATAGATAACTTACAGGAAAGTAAGAAACCAGGAGGTTATCTGTCCCCATTAAACATCAGTGTTATTTTAACACTGTTTTTGGACCATAAAGGTGACACCATCAAGAAACTCCAAAGTATTTATTATAATGAGATTTAATTGCTAGTAACTCCAAGTCAAAAAAAGGTACTATTTCATTTTATTGAACAATCTGCGCTTAAAGGAGCCCCTACTAGACTTTCTCTAGTTTGACCTGGAGAATGAAAGGTAGCAATCAGTGCCCCCCACCTTCTAAATGAGAAGTATTCCTGCAAAAGTCCACAGCAACAATCTGAAGTCCTCATCTATAATAGGGAAGTACAGCATTGTGCTTTGGTATAATCCTCATTTAATATGCCGTATGGTCAACATTTTTACTTGTAAAGGCATGTTTATACTACAAATTGAAAGGAGACAGAAGAAGAGGAAATGTAAAAAAGAACACAGGATAATAAGCCTTCACCCCAATTCACTCTTCACAGGATAGTGACCTAATATTCCCTTGAAGGGGAAATTATTTTATGAAAATGCTAGTTTATCTGCTAGATTATTTTCTAGCATACTCTGTAAGAGGAGAGATGGGGGGAACAACTCATAATTACAGTACCCTACGTAGGCTTCATTTTCCTGACATTCCCCTTAAAGTAGCATTTCCCAAAGTGCTTTTTTTGGTATATACTACCCTCTTGGATATGTATTAGCATGTTAAATATCTAGAAAAATCCTGCAAGACAATAACCTATATACCTTCATTAAGCTAGCATGTTGCGACAGTGTACCACACACCCATTTTTATCATAACATCTTGAAGAAGTGACATTCCGTGCGACACTGGAAAAATGCTACTTTAAAGTAATGCCCAATTTAGAAAAAATAAAGTCACTAGCTTCAGCTTTTGCAATTTTAATTTATGAAGAAAAATACTCCCTTTTCTGCAAAGGTGGTAATTCAGTTACTTTACTACCTGCATTTCTTCTTTCGTGAAGCTGGCTGCCTCATCCCCCAATTCATGTAGATACATGCAGTCAGGTTTTGGACACTGCATATTCTTTAAGAAGTAACTGCAGTATTTTGTTGTACCTAGAGATGCCTGGAGGAAAAAACAAAAGGGGAAAAGGACCCAAAATGTGAAATGACACAATGAGAATTTCCATGTGTTTTCACTAAAAATGAGGCACAAACACAACAAAACAAGTATGGAGAACTAAACAATTACTAAGCAGAATTAAGATTATTCTCATTCGAAAGAACTAAAGAAAACATCTCAGTCTATAGTTTCCCTGAACCTGAGCACCTAAATCTTACCTTCTAGAGAGCAGAACATAAACAAAATCTATTCCATGTAAGTGGTTAGGCACATAAGAAGGCAAATTCCTCTTTATTATGATGCCATCCTCCTACCATTTACATAAAATATTGCTTCATGGGATCCTTCACTCAAATCTGCGCTGATCAATGTCTAAGTTTTTAAGGCCAACAAATCAGAACCCTTATTTATTTCCAGTGAGAATAATAGATCCATTTTCACAAAATTATATGAAACACTAGAGAAGTATTATCCCCTTATAATATGCTTATTCCTACCTAAACAGGAACTTGCATAAGTCAGCAGGAAACAAATTAGCTATCATAGGGTGGTATGGGGGCCTAAGAAGCAATCTTCAAATAAACTCCCTTCAATACAACACATAAATGCTAGGTCTTGTCTACTTATTACATCCTATCCTTTCCCCCACCCCCCAAAAAATCAAGAGGCCCATGTTACCTTAAGCGTTCTGCCATCTACCACGACATTGTTGACACACTGTATGGCTCTGAGAGCATCTTCTGACCGGATATAAGTGACATAAGCACTGGCACTTGGACCCTAAAGTAAAAACCCACTGTGATTAGTTTCAAACTAAATGAAAACTTAAAAGAAAAAATTCTCTCGCAATCTGACTAGAGAATGCAAAAGGCCTTTACTACCACATCATTTAAAAAATGACGATAATTAGAGGTAGTAGTACCTTCGATTAAACTTACACTAGCTTACTTTAAAACAATAACAATAAATTTTATCTCATTTTAAGTAGCCTAAAATACATATAAATAATCTTTCTTTTTTAAAAAAGTTATTTGATAGGCTGTCAAGGTTACAAAAACAAATTTTGAAATTTAGATTTTAAAACATAAGGCTGAAGACACTGTGTCAAACTATGCTCTACCGAAAGTAAATGCCATGTGCTAAGTATCCTCTCTGCTAATACCAGCTCAACGAACATGCTCTATTAAGTTTTCAATATCTGAAAATATTAGACATTATATCAAATTACTCAACTCCCCCTCCCCTGCAATCCATCAAGTCACTAAATCTTTTATTTCCTCATTACTATTAACCACTGTTAAGTACTAGATCAAATGAGCGCCAAAAATTCCCCTATCCCACCAATAAGGGTCACTACATTGCTTAAATCCTTAACCCTCAAGCTCTCTAATCACAGAAAGTAAAATTTCCTTCTGAACAGTCCAGGTCAAGCCCAGACAATACCAGGAAAGGCAAAAATCCCTAAAATTAGTTACCTGTGAGCCTGCATATGATGTGCTATTATTGATGACAACTTTATGTATTTTACCAAACTTCCCAAAATATTCTGGTCGTTTTAAAACCTATAAAAGAAGAAGAAAGAAGGTATAAACCGCCCCTATTTTCATCAATTTTATCCTTATAATAGGGACATTCACCATCCCTCTTTAATGAAAGAAAAATCATAATTTCTTAAGTTTTCTAATAAATATGACAACTTCCTAATTACAATTTCTGGGGTGAATCTACAGGAAATCATAAAAACTTTTTTATTAACCCACTGAACAGAAACTGAGACTCATTATGTTTGGGATTGACTACTATGTTCTAATATCTGCACCAATCATCTATGAGATCCTACCTTCTTAAATATAAGATAGTTCAAAGATCTTAACCACATTTTCATTAATAGATGATCCTTACAAGAAAGTAACTCTCAAAACAATGATTAAAATTATGTATTAAAGACAGAGACAGAGGCCCTCCCCTGGTGGCACAGGCGGTTGAGCGCAGCGCTGCGAAGCTGTTTGCAGCCTCTGCAGTGCCGGTTCGATCCTGGCTGGCCAATGAGAATCCCACATGGCGCAGCAGACCTCTCCTATAGCGCCCGCTGCTCCCCTCAGCAGTGTATTTCATCAGTCTGCCTGTTCTGTTCCCCACTGTCTCTGGTGAATCCTCTCACTCTCCCACGCATCTGGCTGTACCCCAGTTCTTGTAAAAATAAATAAATAAATAAATAAATAGATAAATAAATAAATAAATCTTTTAAAAAGAGAGAGAGAGAGAGAGAGAGAGAGAGAGAATCTCAAGACAGGCAGTAGCGAGAGTCTCTACTCATAACTCTATTGTATATAAAGTTTAAAATATAAATTACGTGGAAACATTTAAGTTACAAATTCCAGTTTTTGTAAAGTGCCCCTAATTATCTCTGCTTTATGATCCATAACTGTGTGTGTGGACACACAGACGTACACACACTTAATTTCCTTAAGTCTATCAATTTTACCATTTTCCCACTGTCACTTGTTATTTTTGTTTCTCTCTCTTTACCTGGTAAATAACATGTCAGGTAATTGGGGGAAAAAACATTTGGGAAACAATTTTGTACATTTCTTTCTCTATCACCTGATAATTTCCCCTCATATTTGTGTCACCTCCTTTACTTTGGGATCAGTCTAAGCATTCACTTAGTTTCTCTTACAAACTCATACAACCTTAGATAATCTGACCACCATACAACTTGACACAAAAAACTTCTCCCATGATGTGTAACTAACTCAAAATTAAATTTTTCTCTTTATAGAATTTACCTATGGACCTACTGTTCCTATAATCTCTCCAAAGTGCTCTTTCAATGAAAAGCTTCCTGCATGGACCTGTTCAAGTGTGTGCAAAGTATTCTTTCCACACATATTTATTCACTTAATATTCTGAAATTCTTACCTAACATGTTCTGCATCTAGCAGAATCAAAATTTTGTGACTAGTCTATGGCTGGGGTGTCATTCATGCTTAACAGTTTTTAATTTAATTTCACTTTAGGTCCTTATAAGTACAGAGTTGTTAATGTTTTGACCATTGTAATGGATTAGAAGGTGAAGTGATTGCACCCACTGATTTTCAACCTTTTTTCTACCCAAGTCCCCTGAGTTATGATAGGAATTGTGGGCTAGGGTTGCTCACAGTCAACTTTCAGGGAAGAGTATACTTTGCAAAGCTTTCTGGCAGGTGGTGTGTGGAACAGGCATTCACTATTCAGCTGGATGCATACCAACTCAGCTAAAGGGCCTGAAAGCCAAAATATCTTCTTCAAAGAATTCAGGCTGTTCACAGGTTATGCTGCATCTGCATCTCATATCACATAAGAGTATACAGAAGTTCTCAATGAAGGCAGCATTCAAAGGAGCATTTTGGAAATTTGTGGAAGGTTTTACTGAAGATTATTAACGTGATTAGGAGACAATATTGGTGGTCAGTGGGTGGGAACCCGGGTGGCTTACAAAGCTCAGGTTAGCCCTACGCAACTTTGCAATGTCCTGTAAGACATTTACATCGCTGAGAAGCCTGTTTATAATTGAGTGAACTTAGACAAAAATTTCATATTATATATAAGCATGAAGTATTTTCCCACAGATTTAACATACTGAATTCGTAGAAAAGCATATAATATGTAATTAAGGAAGACTACAAGTGCTGTGTTTATTATTTCTTTGAGTTGTTTCAGAAAAATCATTTCATGGTTCCTGAGTTGCCAATACATACACCTGTAACAATCTGCATTTGTAGCTGTCACATTCACGGTAACTCTATAAACAGATGCGAGCATCTTAACTGTTTTATTATGCACTGAAAAACTACTTCACATACTTGCATATGCATACAAATCATTTGAAAATCTACTTAAAATGCAGATTAGGACCAATGACTCTGAGGCAGGGCCCAAGAGTTTGCATAATAAGCTCCCAGGTGAAGGAGTCACATCTTGCTTAGCGATGTTCTACAGTAGCATTATCCAAGCATTTACAGGCAAACATAGCTACTTCTAATTATTTATCTTTTATTTCTCCTTTGCTTTTTTCCCCAAATTATGTATATAGACAGATTATTATTATCAAGAAGTCTTTTCGTGAGAGTCAAAGGGTGTCAGAAAATAGCAGTTTTTTTTTTTTTTTTTTAATAGAGGCATGCTTTATTTATTTAATTTATTTATTTATTTTGTTTGTTTGTTTATACATGCACTGGGTACAGTCAGAAGCGCGGGAGGGTGAGAGAATTCACCAGATCCAGAGCAGGGAGCAGAGCAGGCAGAAGGACCGAAGTACACTGCTGAGGGGAGCAGCGGGCGGCAGGAGAGGTCTGCGCGCCATGTGGAACCCTCCTCCGGTGGCCTGGGAGCAGCCGGGGATCGAACCGGCGCCGCGGAGGCTGCGGGCAGCTTCGCAACCCAGCGCTCAACCGCTGCGCCACCGGGGAGGCCCAGAAAATAGCAGTTTTTTAAAAGAGTGTACTGCATCTGATAAGGTTGAAGACACCACTGTCTTATGAAAAGTTTCTCACCAATATTTGGGTACAACATTTTCACAAAATTATAAGATTTGCATATAATTATAGTGAATGTCACATTGCCGTCAGAATATTTTCAAAGTACAAATTCTAGCCATGGCACTCTGTTCTTAAGAACATTTGATAGCCTCCTACAGCCTTTAGAATCAAGCACAAACTCCTTAGCATAGTTAGAAAGCCCTTTATCATCCATTAACACTTACCTCACCAGCCTCATCTCTCACCATTGCACGCTAATCTTCCAGCCAAACAAATCACTTGCAGTTCAAGTTCTTTCTCATCCCGCAGCATATGTATAGTTCCTGTGCCAGGAGCACTTTACCCCAAAGACAGCAAAGAGCTACATAACTGCCCCAAAAGCTCAGGCACTCTCTGTACTTCCACGGCACAGAGCACTTCTCTAGTGTTCATTTTATAAATAAGTGGGGACTACTTGTATACTGGTGTATGCTAAGTGTCTCACATAGTGCCTGCAGTACTCAGTAAATGATTATTAAACTACCTTAGGGTCTTAGATCTGAAAAAAGAGAATTGCATGGATGTTGAACACTACTGGGTCTCAACATATTAGCAGATAACCTGTGGTTTAAGAAATGGCCTTCCAAGGCAAGGGAAGTTCAAAAAAATTTAATTTTCCATTATTAAGTGGAACATTTCAGCATCTGCCCAAACATAACAGTCAACTGGCAAAATGGTATTCCAGTGGATAAAGCACTTGGGCAGTAAGCAGAGTACTCTGTGTATCCCCACATTATCCATATATCCAATGATATGTATTTACTTCATAGTAAGCTGGTTTTGTACTAACATAGAATGCAAAAGGCCATAAGACAAAATTATAAATGTCCAATGGCATGTCTAATGCATAAAAATCTCTTAACAGTCAAGTGTCCATGACTATATCAGAGGAAAAAAAAAAAACCTGATAAACATATGGACAGATAATGGATAATTAGGCACACAGATGAATGATAGAAGAATCATCAGTGCAAAATACTCTGAAATAGGCACTTTAAGTACTGGAGGTTTTATTAGCCCTGGTTAAGCTATGAAATAGATATATATATATGTGATTATTAAGGAAGTCACTCAACTTTCCTGTGCCTTAGTTTCTCATTTATTAAGTGAAATGAAAATTGTCTTCCTGCTAATCAGTAAACTTGAAAGTAGAGACTATGGACTAAACAACCACATCTCCAATATTGAAGCACAACACAAAGTAATTTTTCAAGAGTTAATCTGCAGAATAAATTAGGTTCTTACAAATCTAGAATTGTAGGTCTTGGGTGAACCATCATTACTGCTAATTATACCATGTCTTCCAATATAGTTTTTCTATTGACTGATTAATAATTCTACAATAGATCTTGGTATGAATTTTACTGATATACAAAAATTATTTACAAAATACATGTTTGAAAATCCGGACTTTCAAAAAAATGAGAGAAACCAATATTTAAAAAAAAATCATTGTCCTCCCATCAAGCAATGATGCTTTCACAAAAGTATTATTAAACCAATAGAATGATTTTTTTCAGGTATATTTGACTTATAATAAAGTACTCTCACTAGTTACCACCTAGATTAATTTCTTTCTGTATAAGAGTTCTTAATTTTACGGGAGTCATGTTATTTGAAGTAGAAATAAATCTCTATCAGTAAATAAAAACAAATCACATTCTAAAGAAGAGGTAAGGAAACCTATAATCCAACCATCAGATTGAGACCGTAGCTTCTTTTGAGTCAGTCCTCAGGTGCTGTTCACTATGCCTCCAGTACTACAGCTGACTGGACTCATGGTACAGCAACAAAATCAATTACATCTATATCTAAGAGTTCTCAAATCAAGATAAAAGTTCCATTAGTTTACTTAAGTAACCATTTCAGAAATGCAAATGTAGGAGTAATTAGAGGGAGGTAAATAAAAAACTTGTAGAGGCAAGTGCCCTCTGGTTAGAAAAAAGTCAGGGTTGAAAGAGGGAGATACAAGTGTTTGGCGGTGGTGCTTGAGGAAAAAAGGTCATAGATGATTTGGGATTCTGTTTGACTGGACCAAGTACTTGCTTAGGAAAAAGGAAACTAGCAGCTTAGACTGAGCTGAACCCTCACTTTAACATCTTTCATTGAAGTTTTTTCCTACCTCTTCGAAAAGAACCTGGTCTCCTAAAAATCATGTTGTCCATTAATGCCAGCAACCCTGACCTAAGGTTGAGGAAGTTTACTGCCAATGATAAAGGCTCTTAGTTAGAACTCCTGATCTTTTTCTCTACTAATCTTGAAGCCCTTCATTGGCTCAATAATGTAAACGCATCATCAATAATTACCTATATTCTCTCCAAATAAATTTCCTCCTTCCAGAGTCTTTGGTATACTTAGCCAAGTACAGAATCCCACCTTCCTAAGACATTCATTGCAATCCTCCTTCTGATTGGTACCATGGCAAGCATTACCTCAAGTCCTTCTCAAGGAATAACGTCAACAAATCCCCCAAATCCCTCTGTCCTATTACAGCAAATACTCTGGTAGTCAATCTGTTTCTATCTGCCCCGCCATCAATCTAGTCAGCACTTGTTGATATTTCAGAAACTAAACATTAGCAGATGTGCATCCAAGGGCATCAGGGAAAGTTAGGCGTGCACCACTATTCTAGTAAGGGTTAAAGACCCCCCCACCCTCCAAACAAGTGAAAAAGATCAGGAGCCCTAACTCAGAAGCCTTTATCATTGGCAATAAACATGGAGGAACTTAAGACTTGCTAGACGTTAGGTCAGGGATGCTGGCATAAGTGGGCAACACAATCTTCAGGAGATTAGTTCTTCCCAAAGAGGTAGGAAAAGATTTCTTCAATGAAATATGTTAAGAAGAGAGTTCACTTTAGCTAGTTCATTATTTCCCTTCATCAAATTCTCCCTTTTCCCCCCAAAATGGCTTAAAATGGATAATAAAACAGTAGCGCATCAGTTCTAAAACCGTTCTATAACCAAAAATTACTATTCAGCCAGAATAAAAATACAGGTTATTAATCTCTCTAGAGGGTTCATGTGACTGCAACTCTACTGTTGGTTCTGATAAAGCAATGAGAAAAAAGGAAAGAAACAGAGCAGTTATGTCACATGGCGCCTTATAGCACCAGAACCATTTAGTCAGCTTTCATAGATTATTAGCACCAAAGGAAACATGAGCAACACAGTTCAATCACAGTTTTACAACAAAAGAAAATGAGGCCAAGAAATATTAAGACACTTGCCTAAGATTATAATCAGTCTCAGGTTTCTTAATAATTACTAAAAACTCATTTCCCAGTTTCTCCTACGTTTCAGTATTTTCAAGGGATTCCTATGATTGGGCAGGGCCACAGGTTATTTCCAATAAGATAAGCAAATAGAAAAAATGTCCAAGTTGAGGAAAAAATGGAAGAGGACTCACCTCTGGGTCGGCTAGACGCTGAGACAGACCTACAACAAAGACGAGGTTTTTTTGTACAACACGCACACTAGCCAAATGTTTGCGATTTTCTGATATTTTCTGTTTTCTCTCATTTTGTTTCTGTTTCTTCTCATTCTTTATCCTTTGCAGTTCTTCCTGGGAAAGTGGTTTGTAAACTGCTGGGTCTTCCGGATATGGCTTTAAGTATAAAATAAACAGCGAAAGAAGTTAGCCTGAAATAAATGACTACACAAATAACAATTATCAAGTTCTGGATAATGGTTGTTATAGTTTCCTTTTTCTGACTCAATTGCTTAAAATAATTTTTATTTAATACAATTTGTTCAAATACTTTTTTTTAGTTTAGCACAGACCACTTTTAATGCTAAAACATAAAATGCCACCAAAAGTTCTAAAATAACAAAACCAATTTTGGTATTCCCTATAGTGCCCAGCAAATAATTTACAGGAAAGTTAAGGTTCAATGGTACTACAGAAGAGGCAAAGAGTATAAATCCTGTCATCTAAATATGGATGTATGTATTACAATCAACAAGTATTTACTGAAAACTATTTGTTGAAACATTAATGAAGTTAAAAGAGCTGAATCTTTAATGTATTCCCAGTTAAAAAAAAAAAAGGAGACAGAAGTGCAAATAAGCAACAGTGCACACTGGCTCAGCAGTTTGAACTTGGTTTCAGCACTTACTAGCCATGTGGCCAGAGATAAGATAATTAAACACTATACCTTAGTATCATCATATGTAAAATGATAATCATTTTAAACGATGGTGTAAAGATAAAATAACCCTTGGGCCTCCCCTGGTGGCACAGCGGTTGAGCGATGGGCTGCGGCGAAGCTGCCTGCAGCCTCTGCAGCGCTGGTTCGATCCCCGGCCGCGGACGAAGGTCCCACATGGCACGACAGACCTCTCCTGCCGTGCCCGCTGCTCCCCTCAGCAGTGTATTTCGTCAGTCTGCCTGTTCTGTTCCCCGCTCTGGCTCTGGTGAATTCTCTCACCCTCTTGCACTTCTGACTGTACCCAGTGCTTGTATAAATAAATAAATAAATCTTAAAAAAAAATAATTTAAAAAGATAAAATAACCCTCAGAAAGCAATTATTATTGTGACTGCCACAAATTAATCCCTCAATAGATACCAGCAATCACAGTTATAGTTTTTTTCGTTGTTCATCATAACATTATTGTTTTTATTTCTACTGCTAATACCAAGGCTACTGGTGACCTGAATAAGAGTTAAGGAGCAAGAATGTCTGACTTTGAATCCTGGCTCACTCTTTACTCCCTGAAAGACCGTGGCTACATTATGTACCTATCTGCCCAAGTCTTCTCTTCTGTAAAGTGGGTATTACAGCATCTTATTCACGTCCATGAGAGTTAAAAGATATAATGTATTTATAGTGATTAAAATTGTATAGCGCACATAAGCTTTCAATAAGTCAGTGGTTATTACTACTAATAAAAATTAGTCAACCATAAATGGAAGATGAACACTATACAGTAAAACCCCAGGAATAGGACCCACAATCAGTTGGGAGAGTGTGCCTATCATAATACAGAAGTGGGTGCCCTCAGTCAGAAATGAAGCCATGGAGATAAAAAGTGGGAACTTCAACTAGCAATATCATGGTCTCTAAAAATCATTTGATTTACCCATTAAAAAATTCTGAATCTTTTAGTTGATTGTTCTACATGGCATATTCCATACTCACTTACCAGTAGGAGGATTATAAAACTCCTGACTTTTGCATGACCTGAGGACTTTCTCCAGAATCAAACACAAAGTTAGTATCACACATTTTAGGACCTCAGTATTTGCCAAATGTACACCATGCTACTCTATGGAAATTTGGTGCTGCAAATTTTTCTTTTTCTTTCTTTTTAACTCATTTCAAAATATTTTAACATTTTAACTTGGGAAACTAATGGTTACAAATTTATTATAAGTTCAATTCTTTAATCGGTGATGTTTCCTTTCCCATTGAAGTTTTCTTTCAATGATTCCTCTCAAACCTTTCTCCTCCACCCACTTTTCTGTACCTATAATCTTTCCTTTCAAATCTTATGTATCTTCCCCTGTGATTTTAATTACACAAAGCAATTTGGAGCTATAAGAGCACAAGCATAAAAATAAACTACATGCAAACCAATTAAAATATCTTTCCAGACAATCACTTAAATTTTTCATTGGCACAAAGAAAAGGCTTTTTTTCTCCTATCAGATTTCTGGGTAGCTCTTTTGGGAATGCTTATCATGAAGTTCGTTTGAAAAGTATTGCCCTCCACTAATATCTATGGGGTAATAATCCAAATGAATCAAGTGTATGGATTACTCCTAGTTCCATTTCAAACTGTGTTCCATGCACTGCATTTCACCAGTCCATGATAAGAAAAGTACAAAACTTGAGACTAAGCATTTGGAAACTTTTACAGCAACTTAACACTGCCACAACATTCAAGTACCTCATCAGTGGACTCTTGGCAGAACAAGATATCAGTGTGGCTGTTATCAAACTTGGGTGGCAGATCATGTGTCACAAGCAGGGCACTAGGCATGCATAAGAGACCTTGTATCGGGCCTCAACAGACTAGGGGGTGGGAAGGAAGTACTCATACAAATTGGAGTTAGTTTGAGAAAACAAAGTACTCATACTCTTCATTAGAGTTAGTTTGAGAAAACAATGATGGAACTTTTCGGGAACTCAAATTCTTTTGAAAACATGGGAGATAGCAGACAAACACTCAAAGATATTTTTCTTTGCTTATATTCTCTGACATTGTAAAATCCTGACGAAAGATGACACAAAGTAAAATAAAAGCAAGAAATGCATGACTACATACACAAAAACTGATGGAGACTGACAAGTACCAAAGATGAGGTGGTAATATGAACTCTCCTTAGGTATATTACTGACGCAACATCATGCTGTGTCTTTTAGGAAAATACAGTTCCATCAGGCTTCAAAGTCAATTTTATTGGAAGATACGTACTACTGATACAATAACAAAAGGTATCAACACAGGAGAATAATGAGACAAATTAATTCACTATGATTTACCCACCAAGTACCTCTTATTCTAAGATACTGTTTATCTCTTTAACTCAAAAGAAGTTATAATACTCGCTTTTTAATCTTGTATTTGTGAAGCTACATCTCTGATGTTAGGAGGAATCAAATAAATTTTTCTAGACAACATAAAACATACTGACTCTATACACAAATAGCAAATATCCAGAGCTTATTAGGCTTCATAAAACACTGGGCAAGTATCCATTCTATGGCAGCACCTCCACTGCACACACACCACACCAATGCCTACTCTGTAAGCTGAAGAACAGAAAATTAATAAACTGAGACAATGAAATGAGGAAGGGAGGCAAACTAAAAATGGGAGATGAAGAAATATAATGTAACTGTAGAAAGTGAGACCCACACAGCTAATTAATAGCAATACTAAAAATGAACATACAGAAAAACACAGCTGATCTATTTTTTGACTGAAACACATGTCAACCATCATTTTCTAGAAATATAGGATCAAATGAAAACTTACAAGTAGAAAATTTTTCTTTAAAGGCACTATTACATGTTATATATCAAACTAAAGACAAATAGGACACTTGCAGCGGAACATCTTAAAAGTGTAAAATCTTCAATTGTATTAATTTGGTGATTACAAAGCAAATGATTAACAGAGTTTAGAGTGTCTAATGTTTCATATGTGTAGTTAAACTCCTACTTTTATTCCTAATGTTATATATATATATGTGTGTGTTTTGTTTTCTGATAAGACTTGCCAAGAGTTTACTGATCTTTTCAGAGAATTGCTCTAACTTTTTCGGGAACCTACTTTTTTCCTATTTCACAGAAGTGTTTCATCTCCATCTTCTACTGTCACAATGTTTGTTTTTTTTTCCTTAACTTTGGTTTTTTAACTTGGGAAAAAGTTCATCTATTTTTGTTCTTCCTCTTCTAATAAATGCATTTACAGCTTTAACCTTTCCTCTAAATACATCTTTGGTCTCATTCCAATGATTCTTAGAAAGAGTGTTCCAATTATTGAATTTAAAAAATTTTTAAAATTTTAATTCCCTTTTTGTTCTCTTCTTTAACTCAAGAGTTACAGAGGACCATAATTTTTATTTTACAGGTGGGTAGATTTCTTCTTTATCCTTTTGGTGTTAACAACTAATTGTACTGTACTATTTTGGGGGGCTTCTGATTTCCATTATGGTGAGCTAATTAACCCTCTTGCTAAAGGCAAGAAAAATATTATTAAAAACTTATTTTAAAAACCAACATCTTAAAAAAAACAATAATGATATACACTGGAGGAAGTCCCACATTAATTTTTGGATAAAAATAAAATTCCAGAGAGATAAGTGGAAAATCTAAGTGACCACAAATGTAAGGAGGGACAGCATTCAAAGTACAAGGATAACCCATGGTAATCAGAAACTAAGCTCACCCCTCTTTTAGTCTCAGGATAAGAACCAACTCCAGAGAGATAAGAAGGTAAGAAAAAAAATAAGAAGGAATAGAAGAAAAAACATTCTTGAGAAGTTGTGGAAACCAATCCTAAAAAACACTTGTAGCTTTACACTTGAGGCATCCCTAATGGTAATGATTACTGGACCCACTAGAAGCCTAATCAGAGCCTCTCTGGAGGAGGGTAAATCTACCTTGGGCTTATAAATAATACTCTTAATGACAAGGGTTGGGTAGCAGGCATAAATAACCAAGAAGATAAAGAACAACCACCAGCAAAAACATTCCTCATATGCTCTGTAACTGGAATTACTAGACACAGATCTTAAAACAATACTACTAACCTTTTTAAACAAACATAACAAACCTGAAAGTATCTGCAGGGTATAAGAATCTATGTAAAAAAACAACACATCAATTATGAAAAAAGTACAAATGCTACTTTTGAAATGGAAAATGCAGAACAAAATTTAAAAACTCAATGGACATATGTAGCAGCAGACAGGATCAGGGAAAAAAAATAAAATGTGAGAGAATTAGAAGAAGTCATCCATTATGCATTAAGGAAATATAAAGACACAAAAGACCAAAAACATAATAAGAGACATGGAAGACAGTGAAATATATTTAATCAGATCACAGAAGGAACGGAAAGAGACGAAAGACAGTATCTGAAAAGATAATAGCTAGATCTTTTCCAGAATTAAAAAAAATCTCACCAACACAGATTCAAGAAACCCTATAAACCCCAGATGGGGTTAAAAAACAATAACACGGGCCTCCCCGGTGGCGCAGCGGATGAGCGCTGGGTTGCGAAGCTGCCCGCGGCCTCTGCGGCGCCGGTTCGATCCCCGGCTGCTCCCCTGCCACTGGAAGAGGGTCCCGCATGGTGCGCAGACCTCTCCTGCCGCCCGCTGCTCCCCTCAGCAGTGTACTTTGGTCCTTCTGCCTGCTCTGCTTCCTGATCTGGCTCTGGTGAATTCTCTCACCCTCGTGCGCTTCTGACTGTACCCAGTGCTTGTATAAACAAAACAAACAAGCAAACAAATAAATAAATAAAATGCCTCTATTTAAAAAAAAAACAATAACACAAACAACTAAATCCTACGTTCTAGAATTGTTTGATATTTCCATTGTAGCCTGTCAATTTTTGTGACCACTGAACTTGCATTTTAAAGTGACATACAATTTAATTTTTACAAAATTGTGTGCATGTACAAACACACACATGCTTGCTAAATGTGTCACTTAAAGTGTCTATTTTTTAAATTGTCTATTTCTAAAATATAGAAGCTAAAATCAGTCCATAATGAATGTGCATGCAATTTGCCCTGGTATTTTTATCAATTCAATATACCTCACAGTTCTTCTATAAAGTAAATATTCATGATTTTAGAAAGAAAAATTCTTTACACTTTAAAATTAAATGTTTGATCTTGAATTTAATTATGGCTAACATCATTATTATTACACATTCTTTCCCATGATTTCCATTTCCCCACTACATCTTTCTCCCTTACTTTCACCAACATGTTTCTTGTATGTTTCCAAATGGTTCCACAGGAGTTATTAGGAGGAAAAGAGTAGCCTCTCATTCCCTTTTATTCCCACATCAGTTGCCTCACCCTAGAAATAATCATGTTTACTCTTAGATGATTCTTTTGCCGATAACATGCTTGTTTGCTACCTTTTAAATTTTCAGTTTTATGTATTACTATGTTATGCAAGCTAAAGATTTTGCTTTCCGTCAGGCAGCCTAACCATATACCCTTAGTCCCCTTTCTAACTTTCCACCAATTTTTGGTTTGGTCACTATTCAAAATTACACTATAAAATGCAGATGTTATTTACACATTTCCTCTTCCAGCCATAACAGACTAGACCTACCAGCATAAACAACAAAAACTAGACAAAATACATAATATAACTGTTTTCAGACACTGGACAAGAGTCAGTGTGCAGCAGAACTGTGACCTCTGACAGAGAAGACATATGAAAACCATTTGCTCTTCTAGCACTTACTGGACCCTGGTAATGGGTCCAATAATGACAGTGAACAGATGGGACAGAATGCAGGGGACAGACAAATTTGAAGAAACTGAGGCAACAGAAATTTATAGGATAAAATACCAGAAAGAGGAAATTACTCCAAAATGAATTTCAGAACTGGGCATCTCATGGCAGCTTTTCTCCACTGACAGTTCTACAACCAAGACCCCTGAGAGAGTCAATGTATTTATTGGGTTGTCCAAAAAATCATGACATATTTTTTCTATGTTTCCAAGCAAAAATGTGTCATGACTTTTCAACAATCCAATAAATAATTTGAGGAGGACATAAAGTAATACCAATCACATATAAATACTTACTCTTTCAGAACACAGATGATGAGGAAGTGATTTCTAACTCACTTCAAAGCTATTAAAGCAAGGAGGCCCTATCTGCAAATACGCAGGTTTCATCTTGTAGGTTGAATGTGTTTTTTCCAATTTCAAACCATCCTACCTAAATCCATTACCTCTTTTGTCCAATCTACTTAACAGTCAGCACCACTGATTTTGTTAAACTCCTCAGAGAAGAAAACTAAAGGGCAACCAGAGAGTTATGTGACTTTACTGAGATTATATAGTTAACAAAATAGCCAAGACTTGACATTCTCCCAGGGCAATGTTCTTTGCATTTTATTATATCATAAAAATATAATGCTATATATAATCTCACCTGAGGTTTGCAGAATCTTTGAAATCTATTTACTCATACACGGAGGTGGGGGAGATATATATAATTTTATTTTGAAGTACTCACCTTTCGACATGCAGGACAAAGCCCATTTTCATCAGTGCGAATTCGATGCCAACAAAATCGGCAAATCTGGTAGCCACAGGTGCAAGGGAAAAAGTTGATATCATCTATCTCCAAGGGCTCCATGCAAAGAGGACATTCCACAGGGTCTTCCTTCGCATCGGGACTGCGAGACATCTTCACGTTTATTAAACAGCAGCAAGAGTTTATAATAATTTAAGGGAGAAGGAAGTCCAGCACTGAGAACTAATGTAGAGAACTTCAAAGGCCTGCATGAGAAGAAACAAAATAAACTGCTTACTACTGGACAAAATGGCAGTTTTAGCAATCAAGAATCACACCAACAATTTTGAAAAATATTGACTAGATCAGCATGCAATTCTGATAATTTCTGCATTTCATATTGAAAGGCTTAATTAGTGTTGTTAATTTTTTGGATTCAATGGGAAAAAAAGAACTTCCTTTTACTAGATTAAATATTATTAACATAATCATAGCACATTTAGGAGAATTAAAAAATATAAAGAAGCAACTTCAGCATTAAAACACAATCTGGGGCCTCCCAGCAGGTTATGCGCAGTGCAGCGCGGGTTCGATTTCTGGCTAGCCAGGGAGATGCCCACATGGCATGGCAGACAAAAATGGACTAATTTATAAGCAGTTATAGGATACTAGGGTTATCTACTTTGAGGGAAAAAGAACTTTAATAGGAAAAAAATTTTCAAAAATAAGAAGGAAAAACAACATTATGCCTCATATTCAGTCAAAATAAATCACAAATGGTCTGTCTACAGAGCCACACACGGAAATAAACTATTGAAGTATTGGAAGAAAAAAATATTTTTTAAAAATGTTGGGATACAGACGATCCCAAGCAAAAACAGAAATTCAGGAACTCATAAAAGAAGAATGCTTGACTTCGCACTAAGGAAAGAAGAAAACAAACAAAATCTGAGGCAAGCAGCAAGATAAAGGATACATACATAGGTATATTTTGGCCACACTGTGTCCAGAACATGTAAAAAAACTTTACAAAGCAATTTAAAAGGGCAACTAAGTCAAATGGAAACAGAATACGAATAGTTAACAGAATTACAAATGATTACAACATAAGATGGCCAACCTTTAGCTAGTAAATAAATACTTTTCCCTTTAGTCAAAGGACCTAGTCTACCTACAAAATAAAGAAAAACACTAAGTGATAAGATAAAATCTAAGTTCCTATTCACAAAGAGGAAATGGGACACAAAAACTACCTTGCCTGAAGTTGCACAACTACTAAGTGATGTAGCCTTGATTCACTGCAAGTCTGCCACTCCTCGCACCACCCAAGAGTCTCTGCTACATAAACACACTCATGCAGCTCACACTCAAGTACTGTGCTAAATGCTTACAGAACTGTTCAGAAGTGTAACAAGCTGCTAACAAACTGAGTGTCCATCAGTTGGGAAATTATTAAATTATGATAGTTACAAGGTTGATCTGTGTGTTGCATTAGGAGATGTCATATTTTTAATTTTTAAAAGTAAGCTGTGGGGCCTCCCCTGGTGGAGCAGTGGTTGAGCGCTGGGCTGTGAAGCTGCCTGCAGTCTCTGCAGAGCCGGTTCGATCCCCGGCCACCAGCGAGGGTCCCACATGGCGTGCAGACCTCTCCTGCCGCCCGCTGCTCCCCTCAGCAGTGTATTTCGTCAGTCTGCCTGTTCTGTTCCCCGCTCTGGCTCTGGTGAATTCTCTCACCCTCCTGCGCTCCTGACTGTACCAGTGTTGTATAAATAAATAAATAAATCTTTACTGAAAAAATAAATAAATAAAAGTAAGCTGTAGACGAACACTAATATACAATTACTATTATATAAATACATAAACTATACACGTTTGATTTGTTTCTCTAGGAAAATAAAGCACATGAAAATTTATATATCAAAATGTTCTATCATAAAATCAAAATGGATAAGAGGAAACTACTAATTTTATTTTCAAAAATATGTATCACCTAAACCATTACAACATAATATTTTTGTAATTCATGACTAAGCCTTTTTTTAAAAAAAGAGAAATTATTTTCACCTTGTTGAGGTTTTGCTTTTTGATTGTTTCTGTGTTTTAATTAAAAAAAAAAAACAAACAGCCTACAAGAGTATGTATCTTCTAGCTTAAAGGGAAGAACGGACCAACAGCAAGTAGTCCCATAATACAAAAGGCAAGTACATTCTGTGAGCTTTTAGCACCATGGAGAGAAACCATGCAAGCCGGTTGTCAACTGTAATCCAACAACTAGTAAAATGTAGAAGGAAAGACTCAGTGGCAGAAGCCTGCAACAGCAGGTAGGAGAACTGACTTCTGCCTCTTCTTCTACCAAGGAGACATGCAATCTTGAGTACGTCACTCTAAAAGCTCAAGAGTGCAATTTACTTGTCTGAAAAACGTGAACACACACAAAATTTGACAGTATTTTAAGGACCCAGAAATTTCCTTTATGTAACCCACAGAACTAAGTTTTTAAAATGTTTTGAAATAAATTATCTCCCCTCCAAATACCCTGACCCAAATATTCATTTACGGACAAATAATTTTATTTCATCAGCCAGTCAACTAATACTAAGTAAAAATAAAGCAATGCACTAGAACAATGAGGCTTACAAAGCCTTTAAGGCTTTTATAAACCTTTACGGTTTATAAAGACAGAAATAAAAGGTGTTTTTAAATGAAAAAGGAAAGCCCATACCGTCTAGATCAGCTGTGGGGGTTAAGACAGTGACTGGTTTTTGATTTAATAATTGATTTTGTACCCCAACAAGTTCATTTTCACATAAGTTATCTAATTCTCAGTGACCTAATAAGAACATATTATATCCCCTCTATGAAAGATGAAATTGAGGCCCAACAGTGACCCAGTCTTTAAGTGTTAGATACAATTCAAAAGTAAGACTTCCAAATTCAAAATCTATGCCCTTTCCAAGAATATAAGACAAAAGCTATGATTTACTGAAGTCACAGCTGCATACACTTGGCATATGAAGTGCAAATGTCCGAAAAGTATAAACATGACTTTTTCAAAAAAATTCTACAGGAAATCTCTGTATCACCTAAAACAAATACCACAACACAGAATAAATTCTCACATGCGTAATAATGCTACAGGACCACCCAAAATCTTACATGCCATGCAATAATTGTACAAAAGTAAAATCATGCATTCAAAACCAAGCCAGAAATTCCTCATCACTCTTTAAAGTGTTGCATGCATGCCTTTGTTTGTAAGACCTATTCAATAGATTTACATAAAAACACACTATAAAATAAAAAGTACTGCAGCCACTGTGGAAGCTTGATGGTTCCTCAAAAAGTTAAACATAGAATTAGCATATAATCCAGTAATTCCTCTCCTATTTATATACCCAGAGTTGAAAGACTTTGAACAGATACTTAGCACACAATGTTCACAGCATTAATCACTACAGCCAAAGTGAAAATAGATGAATTGCTAATTTGGCCAAAGCCAAACCAGATGAACTGCTAAACGAAATACAGTCTATACATACAGTAGAACATTATTCAGCAATTAAAGGAATAAAATTCTGATACATTCTATAATGGACAAGAACCTTGACAACATTAAGTGAAATTAGTCTGTCACAAAAAGACAAATATTTTGTGAATCACTTATATGAGGTGTCTACAATAGGCAAATTTGTTGACTCAGAAAACAGAAGTTACAAGGGGTTGGAGGTTAAAAGAATGAGGAATGAGGTTAAAAGAATTATCTCGATCTGGAGAGATAAAAGTTTTACCAACAGAAAGTGGTGAAGGTTACACATACCGTGAATATGCTTAATGCCACTAAATTGTACATTTGAAAATACTTAAGATTATAACTGTTACTTCACAATAAAATAAGAGAATAACACTATACACAGTTAAATGCAGTCTATTTTATTTTTTTATTTTTTATTTATTTTTTTAATAGAGGCATGTTTTATTTATTTATTTGTTTGTTTGTTTGTTTTGTTTATACATGCACTGGGTACAGTCAGAAGTGCGGGAGGGTGAGAGAATTCACCAGAGCCAGAGCGGGGAGCAGAGCTGGCAGAAGGACCGAAGTACACAGCTGAGGGGAGCAGCGGGCGGCAGGAGAGGTCTGCGTGCCATGCAGGACCCTCCTCCGGTGGCCGGGGAGCAGCCAGGGATCAAACCGGCACCGCAGAGGCCGTGGGCAGCTTCGCAACCCAGCGCTCAATCGCTGCGCCACCGGGGAGGCCCAAATGCAGTCTATTTTAAACAGCAATTTTCAAAGCAAATTTGTTTCAGCTGGCTTATTTAATTAATCCTTAAAATTTTTCTGCCAATCTCACAGCTGAATTTGTGATAAGCTAAATGTGTGTACACGATGCAACTCTGCTGAACAGTTACATAGAAATTACACTCCTGAATACACCATATGCCCAAAATTATACACTATGTTGGAAAGCTGTTTAATGATATGAAATACACACATACATTGGTATATGAAACAGCATTTTAAGCGTCCATAAAAAACCACACATTCAATTCTACACACACACACACACACACACACAGAGTTATAAACGAACATTTAAAAACTATAATACAAAAACAATACCATATAACTTTACAGGGCAACCCTAATATGAAATGGGTTGGCCTGTCTGTGGGTCCTCACCTGAATGCTTAACAGGGACTCATGATGAGACTCAACCGCAGGTAACACAAAAAGAGTAATAAAGGGTTTATTTACAAAAAGGGGAAATGAAGACATGAATAACTCAGGGAGAAAGAGATAAGTTGGTGAATGTGTCCTACTGGTTCCGCTGAGCTAGAACCCCAATAACATGCTGAAAGCCAGCAAAAAGCAAGAACCCCCAAGGCCCACATGTCTGGTTGTATACCAACACTGGCTGCTTTACCTCCACCCGGCAATCCTCCCTTCAGTGAGGAGGACATGATGGGGTTTGTGGCCCTTGGTGCCTTGGATCTCATTGGTCTGGGGTGAGGGTGGGGTCCATAAAACCTATTTGTGGAGTTTGTTCAGGGCATTCTCTCCCCCCAACAAAACCAGTATACCAGTTATCTTGCATACTATAACATGCCCCCAAAGTATTTTTGCAGAAGGGATAGCTATAGGTAGAAGATGATGCACTGAATCTTTTTTCAATAGCAAGTAACCTCCAGCCCCCAGGGGCCTCCCTGGTGGCCGAGGGGTTAAGTCTCAGCACTATCACTGCTACAGCCTGAGTTTGATCCCCTCCAA